ACACACACACACACACACACTTTATGGATGGTTTTTAGGGTTAAATTTTTAGGATTATACATGATTAAATACAGTAATCTGCTGCCAGTCTTGTATAAAGTACCTCAAAGGGATAAAAGGTTCAAGTCTTTTACCATTAGATTATATTGGTAAAAGTTAAAGTATCTGATATTTACTGTAGTTAAGCATCAAAAATCAATTTTGGTTATAAAATGTACTCAAGTATTGAAACAACTGAGTAAAAGTGAGATGTTAGAATGTCAAAAATAACATTTATTGGGAGGCAATCTACCAAAACATTTCTGTAAATTCCACAATGACCATTATAAGTTATTTTAAAATGTTAACATTGAAAACTTTGGGATTCACTAAACTTCCAGTATTAGCTGATCACTCATCTACATACTCGGTTACATACATGTGATCCTGGAGTCTGATGTGATTTGTGTCATGTACAGATGAGATGTAAAATACAAACTAACATTGAGTCAGAACCGTAGATATTTATACTTCTCATCCAACCACAGTTAAATTCACTCTATCCATTCATTTGGGCATTTTTATTTACAAAATTTAAATGTGAGTAACAACTTTCTACTTCTTACCTTTTTTTAAAGAGTAAAACGTACAGAAAACTGTGTGGAAAAGTACAGAGGAAGTAAAACTTTGGCTGAAAAATAATCCAGTAAAGTTTAGATAACCAAATTTGTACTTCATGCACAAAGTATTTGTACTTTGTTACACCTTTCATTGATTGTTAYACAGTAAGTCCAAGTTCTAAATTTAACATTTGTCCCTTAAAATAAAAAATAAAAATTTTTTAAAATCAATATTTAAATGTGTATTATTTAAAAAGGAACACATTACTCACCTGCTGAGCCAGTATTAATACAGCAATGCATGTGACCACCAAGACTTTCCTTTGGGTGAAAAGGCTTTTCTGTTGCATCTTTATTTTTTTCTATTTATCTCTCAGAAACCTAGAAAACTGATCCAGCAGRTAGGGTTCCCTGATCTGTGGAGGACCTCCGATACCTTGACCAGCTGCGTTCAAGTGGAAGTAAAGTTCATGCAGGCGTATTTTTCCTTCCTCCCAGTCACAGGTTGACTGGAGAAGTCTGATCGGATCAGCCTGACTCAGCAAACTCAAAAGGGCTGGGCTCTGCCTTATATAGTAGGACCGGGATCTCGTTGGGGGGGGACGGACAGAGTCCCAGTCCAGGCTGTGTCATTCACCCCCACTTATCTCTGTCTCTCTGTCTTTATCTTTCTTATCTATGCCTATAACAGGGACATGATGCGTCTGCAGAAAACTGTCACTGCACCGCCAGACATCAAATATTTTCAGCTGGGTGGAAATGTTTTGGCTCAGAGGGGTTCGAGGGATAAAGACTTCTCAATAAGTCTCATGTTTTCACACGTTAGAGCCACACAGAGTGGACTTCCAATGTCCGAGGAAGGATCTGTGTTTTGGTGAATCCACKTGTTAAATCCTACGTTTTAATTTCACTGAGAAATGGAATTATCTCAKCTGATACATGAGCGCATGATCTCTGCATGTCAATATGTACATGCATAAGTCCTTTTAGAATATTTTGGCATTACGAAACTAGAGGACTAGTCTAAACATGTTGGGTTTTGATTTCTGCCTCGTGTTGTAATTTGATTGTTTTTTTAAAGTGGGGTGTATTATGCAAAATCAACTTTTTTGAGCATTACATCATGTTATAATGTCATTCTTTCATCAAAAACATACCCAGATTGTTGCTTTGACTCATGTATGCATGTTTAAAGGGATCCATGATTAGTTGTAACATATATTTTAACTGTAAAAATAAAGACTGTAAAAATACTGTAGACTGTTTAGTTTTTGTAAATTTTAAACTGAAATTTTAAAAATATATTACACGGACAGGGCCATTTTATTTACACGCAAAGCATTCTGGGTAAATGATGACGTGGATAGGTCCTCGGTGCAAGGCTGCCAGCGAGCTATATCCACCCTGAAGGTTAATCTTGGACAATATCTGATGATCGACTCTTTTAAATGAAACCAGAGAGCGTTGACAGAGAGG